TGGAACATCGCCCCGCGCCCCAATGCTAAAAATTTTCTGAGGCGAATAAAATCCCAAAATCTAAAGGATTTACTCTCCGGGATCAATTCCGCATTACCTCCCAAAATTTAAACACATTTTCATGTGTTAGCTGTTAATACGTTTCACTTAAACCACAGGGAAAAGATTCCCAAAAGTTATCTTCACGCTTGTGTTTTTCAAAACAATTTTCTTTAAAATTTCAAGGGAAACAAAAACTTTAGTTTTACAAATTAAAACACTGTCAAAAAAAAAAATTTCATGCCCTAGAATGGGAAAAAAAGCAATGGCAGTGCCCTACGAAAATAAAGAAGTCCCCCTAGGTACTACAAAAGTGATAAAGACACCATTTGAGAAAAAAGACAGTTGGTCTCTATATAAAATTAGTTGGAACCAAATTTAGATCTTACCTGGAAAAATGAAACCACATCCCAAAAAGTTCTGTCTAAAGCTTGTTAGCCCAACGATGCATGTGCTAGCGGATTATTTACAACCTATAGTTCACCCCTTTATAATTTTTATCAAGCTCCTCCTACTTTTACCCAAAAATCATTCTCATTAGGGTATCTGCTCCTCCCCTGGGGGAAATTTATTCCTGTCAGTCAGGGTGTAAACACTTATTTAAATTCCCAGCTGGATCCCCTTTTTCTTTTAACTGGCAAAGCTAATAGCCTAGTCCAACTCCATTCTCTTCACCTGCCTTCACAATGCATCAGAACGTTTATCCTTCTGTTTTGTAAACACTTTCTGCCTCACCATGTCAATAGTGACCGTCGGGACCTGCCGTTCGGTTAGGTAACCTCAGGGGGAATTAAACGCAAATTAGCCGGAGTTAGCTTCTCCTAAAAAGTCTGCTAGGAGATAACATTTCTGACACCAACAGATGGTGTGCAAATCTCCAGTCAGTAAGTCTGCTTGGTCAGATCCTTATCTCTGTACCTTAACACTTAACGTCTGGGAAAAAGTTTTAGTGTTTTGATATGACCAACGTCCAGGAGAATTAAAGGTGTGATGTCTCGTCTTACTGAGATTAAGGATGTATCCAAATCCCTATTTGTCTGTATACTTCAAAATACATACAAATAAAAGTAGGTTGAGGAAAGTCATTCTGAAGTCACCGCGCGTATTGTCACACTCCCAGTGACACACACATCAACACATCCTTATCTCGTCAGTGCAACACACGTCAATACATCTTTTCCTCGCCAGAGCCACGCTTTAACACATCCTTACCTCGCCAGTGCCATGCACATCAGCTCGCTGTTGTCGTCCTCCAGCACCATGGTAGTCCACAGATGGAAGTGGTAGATGATGAGGGCACTGAGCAAGACCACGAGAATGCTGACGAGGGCCCGGCGAGGGGTGCAGTAGATCTTCACCTGGTGGGGCCGAGCAATGCGGACGTAGTTCTCGTGCGATACCAGGACTATCAGCCACACGGAGGTAAAGCTGCAGGAGTAAGTGATGAAGATTGTCACCTGTAATATAAATCAGGTACATCGAAGTAAACTGGAAGCATAGTTTACAACTGCTAAAACTGTGTCGAAATGAACAAATTAGGTATTTATTTGACCTTAGCATCTACGGTCAAAAGCAGCAATCACAGTAATAGTGATTAAAATATTAACAAAAAAAATGAGTAAACAATAATAACTAAATAATTTCTCCTTCCTCTTTCTTCTTCTTCTCCTTCTCCCTCTTCTTCTCCTTCTCCATCTTCTTCTCCTTCTTCCTCTTCTTCTCCTTTCCCTCTTCTTCTCCTTCTCCCTCTTCTTCTCCTTCTCCTTCTTCTTCTCCTTATCCCTCTTTTTCTCCTTTTCCCTCTCCCTCTCCTTCTCCCTCCTCTTCTCCCTCTCCTTCTTCCTCTCCTTCTTCCTCCTTCCCCTCCTTCTTCCCCTCTCCTTCTCCTCTTCCTCCTCCTCCTGCTGCTTCTTCTTCTTCTTCTTGCTCTTCTTCTTGCTCTTCTTCTTCTTCTTCTTCTTCTTCTTGCTCTTCTTCTTCTCTTCTTCTTCTTCTTCTTCTTCTTCTTCTTCTTCTTCTTCTTCTTCTTCTTCTTCTTCTTCTTCTTCTCTTCTTCTTCTTCTTCTTTCTTCTTCTTCTTCTTCTTCTCTTCTTCTTCTTCTTCTTCTTCTTCTTCTTCTTCTCGTCTTCTTCTTCTTCTTTTCTTCTGCTCTTCTTCTTCGTCTTTTCTCATTTATATTTCATCCTTTTTACCGATCTGTTTTTCCTAAATTTTTAATTGCACACTTCTTTGACGTTTTCTGCCTTTTACCATATATACATGCAGACACACACACAGGCACAGGCCTGTCTGTCTTGTCTGTCTGTCTTTCTGTCTTGTCTGTCTGTCTTGTCTGTCTGTCTTGCCTGTCTGTCTTGCCTGTCTGTCTTTTCTGTCTGTGTTGTCTGTCTGTCTGTCTTGTCTGTCTGTGTCTTGTCTGTCTGTCTGTCTGTCTTGTCTGTCTTGTCTGTCTTGTCTTGTCTGTCTTGTCTTGTCTGTCTTGTCCGTCTTGTCTTGTCTTGTCTGTCTTGTCTGTCTTGTCTTGTCTTGTCTGTCTTGTCTGTCTGTCTTGTCTGTCTGTCTTGTCTTGTCTTGTCTGTCTTGTCTTGTCTGTCTTGTCTGTGTCTGTCTTGTCTGTCTTGTCTTCTTCTTCTTCTTCTTCTTCTTCTTCTTCTTCTTCTTCTTCTTCTTCTTCTTCTTCTTCTTCTTCTTCTTCTTCTTCTTCTTCTTCTTCTTCTTCTTCTTCTTCTTCTTCTTCTTCTGTCTTTTCTCATTTATATTTCATCCTTTTTACTGGTCTGTTATTTCTAGATTTTCAATTGCACACTTCTTTGACGTTTTCTTCCTTTAACCATATATACATGCAGACACACACAGGCACAGGCCTGTCTGTCGTGTCTGTCTGTCTTGTCTGTCTTGTCTGTCTTGTCTGTCTTGTCTGTCTTGTCTGTCTTGTCTTGTCTGTCTTGTCTTGTCTGTCTTGTCTTGTCTGTCTGTCTTGTCTTGTCTGTCTTGTCTTGTCTGTCTTGTCTGTCTTGTCTTGTCTGTCTTGTCTTGTCTTGTCTTGTCTAGTCTTGTCTTGTCTGTCTTGTCTTGTCTGTCTTGTCGTGTCTGTCTTGTCGTGTCTGTCTTGTCGTGTCTGTCTTGTCGTGTCTGTCTTGTCGTGTCTGTCTTGTCGTGTCTGTCTTGTCGTGCCTGTCTTGTCGTGTCTGTCTTGTCGTGTCTGTCTTGTCGTGTCTGTCTTGTCATGTCTGTCTAGTCTTGTCTGTCTTGTCTTGTCTTGTCTTCTGTCTTCTTCTTCTTCTTCTTCTTCTTCTTCTTCTTCTTCTTCTTCTTCTTCTTCTTCTTCTTCTTCTTCTTCTTCTTCTTCTTCTTCTTCTTCTTCTTCTTCTTCTTCTTCTTCTTCTTCTTCTTCTTCTTCTTCTTCTGTCTTTTCTCATTTATATTTCATCCTTTTTACTGATCTGTTTTTCCTAGATTTTTAAATGCACACTTCTTAGACGTTTTCTTCCTTTAACCATATATACATGTAGACACACACAGGCACAGGCCTGTCTGTCGTGTCTGTCTGTCTTGTCGTGTCTGTCTTGTCGTGTCTGTCTTGTCGTGTCTGTCTTGTCGTGTCTGTCTTGTCGTGTCCTGTCTTGTCGTGTCTGTCTTGTCGTGTCTGTCTTGTCGTGTCTGTCTTGTCGTGTCTGTCTTGTCATGTCTGTCTAGTCTTGTCTGTCTTGTCTTGTCTTGTCTTCTTCTTCTTCTTCTTCTTCTTCTTCTTCTTCTTCTTCTTCTTCTTCTTCTTCTTCTTCTTCTTCTTCTTCTTCTTCTTCTTCTTCTGTCTTTTCTCATTTATATTTCATCCTTTTTACTGATCTGTTTTTCCTAGATTTTTAAATGCACACTTCTTAGACGTTTTCTTTCTTTAACCATATATACATGTAGACACACACAGGCACAGGCCTGTCTGTCGTGTCTGTCTGTCTTGTTTTGTCTGTCTTGTCTTGTCTGTCTTGTCTTGTCTGTCTTGTCTTGTCTGTCTTGTCTTGTCTTGTCTGTCTTGACTTGTCTTGTCTGTCTTGTCTTGTCTTGTCTGTCTTGTCTGTCTGTCTTGTCTGTCTGTCTTGTCTGTCTTGTCTGTCTGTCTTGTCTGTCTTGTCTGTCTTGTCTGTCTTGTCTGTCTTGTCTTGTCGTGTCTGTCTTGTCGTGTCTGTCTTGTCGTGTCTGTCTTGTCGTGTCTGTCTTGTCGTGTCTGTCTTGTCGTGTCTGTCTTGTCGTGTCTGTCTTGTCGTGTCTGTCTTGTCGTGTCTGTCTTGTCGTGTCTGTCTTGTCGTGTCTGTCTTGTCGTCTGTCTGTCTTCTGTCGTCTGTCTGTCTTGTCTGTCTGTCTTCTTGTCGTGTCTGTCTTCGTCTTGTCGTGTCTGTCTTGTTGTCGTGTCTGTCTGTCGTGTCTGTCTGTCTGTCTGTTGTGTCTTGTCTGTCTGTCTTGTCTGTATGTCTTGTCTGGTCTGGTCTGGTGTGTCTGGTCTGTCTGGTCTGGTCTCTGGTCTGTCTGGTCTGTCTGGTCTGTATGTCTGGTCTGGTCTGGTCTGTCTGTCTGTCTGGTCTGGTCTGGTCTGGTCTGGTCTGTATGTCTGTCTGTCTGTCTGGTCTGGTGTGGTGTATGGTTGGTCTGTGTCTGTCTGGTATGTATGTCTGTATGTATGGTCTGGTCTGTATGTATGTATGTCTGGTATGTATGTATGTCTGTATGTATGTATGTATGGGTCTGTCTGTCTGTATGTATGTATGTATGTATGTATGTATGTATGTATGTATGTATGTATGTATGTATGTATGTATGTATGTATGTATGTATGTATGTATGTATGTATGTATGTATGTATGTATGTATTGTATGTATGTATGTATGTATGTATGTATGTATGTATGTATGTAGTATGTATGTATGTATGTAGATATGTATGTATGTATGTATGTATGTATGTATGTATGTAGGTATGTATGTATGTATGTATGTATGTATGTATGTATGTATGTATGTATGTATGTATGTATGTATGTATGTATGTATATTGTATGTGTGTGTGTGTGTGTGTGGGTGTATGTATGTATGTATGTATGTATGTATGTATGTATGTATGTATGTATGTATGTATGTATGTATGTATGTATGTATGTATGTATGTATGTATGTATGTATGTATGTACGTATGTATGTATGTATGTATGTATGTATGTATGTATGTATGTATGTATGTATGTATGTATGTATGTATGTATGTATGTATGTATGTATGTATGTATGTATGTATGTATGTATGTATGTATGTATGTATGTATGTATGTATGTATGTATGTATGTATGTATGTATGTATGTATGTATGTATGTATGTATGTATGTATGTATGTCTGTATGTAGTATGTATGTATGTAGGTATGTAGGTATGTAGGTATGTAGGTATGTATGTATGTAGGTATGTATGTATGTATGTATGTAGGTTATGTATGTATGTAGGTTATGTATGTATGTATGTATGTATATGTATGTATGTATGTATGGTATTGTATGTATGTAGGTATGTATGTATGTATGTATGTATGTATGTATGTATGTATGTATGTATGTATGTATGTATGTATGTATGTATGTATGTATGTATGTATGTATGTATGTATGTATGTATGTATGTATGTATGTATGTATGTATGTATGTATGTATGTATGTATGTATGTATGTATGTATGTATGTATGTATGTATGTATGTATGTATGTATGTAGTATGTATGTATGTATGTATGTATGTATGTATGTATGTATGTATGTATGTATGTATGTATGTATGTATGTATGTATGTATGTATGTATGTATGTATGTATATGTATGTATGTATGTATGTATGTATGTATGTATGTATGTATGTATGTATGTATGTATGTATGTATGTATGTATGTATGTATGTGTGTATGTATGTATGTATGTATGTATTTATGTTGAGATATTTAAGATTTAATTAGCCGTTTTCGCCAGGGCTAGTGAAAAAAAGTACAGTCTTAAAGCGCATTTAGAAACATATTTTCTGTTGCTATAGGAGACATGGTTAGAGATTAGTTTTGTAAGCAGTTCGTCTGCGTCTGGGGAAACTGTCACTAGTTAAATGTCTTTTGCAAAACGTCGCTCCCATCACATAGTTTAAAGTTCCCAACGGGGACCTTTTCGCGCGTCTGGTAGGGGTATCTAACAATATAAACTCCCCCCCCCCCCCCCCCTCCCGAGATCCCGAACTGTTAAAGGACTCGGCCACTTTTTCCCACTCCCGAATATATGTAGATGTTTTAATTTTTGTTCTTACATGTCAAATTATTTCAGATGAAGTGTTATTATATTTGCTATTCAGCAACTGCAACTGTTATTATTAATATTATATTATTATTATTATTATTAAGTGTTTAAACAAAGCCTGGACTCCAGGAGCGTAGCCT